ATTTACATGCAAGGCCCAACAACAAATGTGATATAATGAGCCCCAACATCATATCTATCACAAGAATCTTATCAATGTATATAAGGAGATAGCAAAGATTATAAATACAAGATTATTGATACTGTAGATCCCATCAATATACAAGTTATTAAGGAACAACAAAAGTAAAATAGAAAATATAAGTGTTCCAGATGTATATAGGAACCTTAGATTTGACAGTAACTTAATATTTAGGAGCCGCAAACCATTCATTACACAGCAGATTAAAGGAGCATCGATAAGTCATTAACAAGAAAGAGCTGATTATGCTTTGGTCATCTATGCTTTAGTTCCAGAGATAGAAATTAGGCTGAAAGATGTGCAGCTAATACACCTATAAGTAACATAGCAGAGCTGAAAGGATTAGAGTTACTAGAAATGTTTAAATTAACTAAAAGGATGCAGACTCTCTATCAGGGATGGAGAGTTGGAGTCAAATCTTTTTATAGGAGTTGGGAGCCATGTATTTTTCCACTAACTCCCTGCTCTCTTTAGCCTGAAAAATGCATTTTGATATCTCATAATCATCCATTTAGACATTTACTACACTCATGTTCTATCTTTATTATTTTATATATATATTGTGTGTGTGGATATATACATATTTGTTTGTGTGTATAAATGTATTTATATATTGTTTGTATCAATATCAGCTCATTTAATTTAACCTGTTTTGTGTTATTATTCTTATTTGAATTTTTTTTCATGTGCTTATTTTCATGTGCTGGAGGTATCAATGTATTCATTTAGCAATTACTAACAAAATGCAAAATAAATTTTGCATCAGAAGTGATTTTTAACAAGTTTAGCTATTTTACAAATTATTTTGAAATTCATTAATATTGTACTTGATAATGAAAATTATTTCAACTAATCACATATCTGATTTTCTTACAATGCTGATGCTATACAAACTTGATTTGATAATAAAGTTATGTTAGGTACAAATAAAAAATTATTCAAATGATTTTAAGAATAGTGAACAATATCAGTTATAAAATATTTTATAATAGATTAATAAATATATTAGATTATATGATATTTACTAAAATTTTCCATAAAATTTACTTTTTGATGAAGGAAGATTTTTCTTAAATATGAGAATTATCTATTATCCTTGTATATATATGGCTTATAAGAATGCACCTATTTTTACTATAATTATTATGAGAACCTTTTCTCAATTGAAGAAATGTCAGATGAATTACGTTGTTTAGATATACAGATTATTCTGATATTATGCTTGCCTGTATAAAAATAAAAATTTGTTGATTTTCACGAATTAACAACTAAAAAGAAATGTTAAATTTTTAAACAATTACATTATTACAAATTTATAATTAAGACTTTGAGTGATCTTCATGTAGGAAACAACATTATGATGATCAAAATCCTTCTTTTATTTATCTTTTGCAAAACTGTATTTCAGATATAGCTTAAAGACACTCAGTTTAGAATGTATATGTATATATACACATTCTAAACTGCAAAGTTTTGCATATTTTCATAACACTAGTGTAATTTTATTTGCTGAGTAGTAGTAAATTCTCTTTATGAAAAGAATACACAGCATCATTATATAATTCAGTGTTAAAATATATTGTCAAATAGGACTGAATTATATGAATAATATATAAATTTATATAATTATTGTAATAATTTAAGCTCATAATATTAATTTTGAAAGCTAGTATTTTCCAATAATTGGGCAGTATATGAATAGGTATATTTTATATCTTCCTAAGTAGAATTTCTAAAATTTTTGGCATAAGAATTAATTTGGAATTCATATATAATTAAAAAATTTATAATAATTTAAGTGTATTCTTATTCGTAAAATTCAATTAAAATGAAAAATATATCTAAATTTACCATATCATAAGTGGATCTTTTATCTTATGAATTATTAAATAAAAATACTATAAAAGTGTGCTAATTTTTGTCTTAGAACAAATCCAAATTTAAAACAAATGCATATTATTTCATTCAACTTTTATTTTATTTCAAAGTTATTCAATACTAGGAAATAAGTTATTCAACTTTTATTTCCTAGTATTGTGTATAGTCAAATATTTTATTTTTATTCAGTCATGACCTAGAGTATATTCAATGCTGTCTTGAACATGTATTCACCAGAGCATAAAATATTCACTTAGGAATTTATTATAATTTAAAACTGTTTTAAATAAAATCAAATTTTATATAATAATTATAAAATGTTTTCTGCTACACACTTCAATTGTGTAGGCATATTTTATATTCATATACAGAATGTTTATTAAAATTAAACATGGTTTTAGTAACATTTCCAAAATCTTTTATGAAGTTATAATATTTAATATATATATCTTTATAGTTTTTGTTTTCTTACAATTTTGTCTTTTCCAGACCAAGAATGGAGCTGATGTACAGTATATTTGGTATACATGTGTGAAGGAAAATAATTCTGAGTTCATGAAATAGAACATAATTACGTAGAGAATATATACTGAAAACTATAAAATATATTTAAACTGTTGTATATTTAAAATTTGTGACAATTTTGCAAGAAATTTGAATTTATATAAAGAAAAGTCACATGACACCGTATGACACAATGTTTGAATTTTAAAACATTATATTCTATCTTTATTGCTTAGTTACAGTAGCAAAGTGATACACATTCAAGATTCGGAACATCAGCTCCATTTTTATTTTAGGAAATAGTATAGTTAAAATGAGAATATTTTCTTTTTAACGGGCTTTGATTATATATTAATTTGTTTCACTTTTTAATTTTCCAAAACAAAATTGAGATGTAAATTAAATAAGAAGCATTCTAGAACAAGGACTCGTCTTGCAGATATACATGAACAGTTTGAGGATAATAATTATTTATGAATGCTATAGACAACTTCCATATCACAAATGTCTTCTTTATGCTTACTCATTATTAATATTTTAGGATCTTATTTTTTTTATTTTCTTGTTTTGATGACTCTCATTAAATTTGATGTCCAAAATTATATCTGAAATATTAAATATTCTATTAAAAATAATTTTTAATTGTTGTATTAACTGTTGTTGTTTTAGTTCATGCTTATTTAAGTAGATCATAAAGATCTTCAAATAATAATTTCTTATAATAAATTATGAAATTTTAATACCTGTAATTATTGTTGTATAATAGTTGTCTGCCAGTAATTATAAATTAAATACATTAGATTGATTATTATTTGTGATTAATACTCTTTCAGTTTTTAATTTTTACTGTAATACCACATTTTTTTAATATCTTTTACACTATATATATACATATATATATATATTTTTTTTATTCAGTATGTAACTAATAATAATGCATACTTTGTTCATAAATGAATTATAGTTTGCTAATATTTAATGGATTAAGGGTATTAAAATCATTTTTGCAACTTTTCTATTTGCACTTTTTACAAACTATAATGTGCTAAGTTTTTACAAAATGGCTACATTATCTGAGTTATCACTATTCATTTATATTGAATGTAAAATGAATCTTGCTTTACTATTTAGTATGATTTATGCTAATTATAATTGTTCATCTAGAAATTTTATAGAATGAGCACAAGTACTATTAGCAGAACACAATGTTTAATGTGTAGAATTGTTGAAAAAAATTATCATTTATTTTAATGCTATCATGTTGTTATTCTCTGAATATGTCTTTTAAGGATATATGGTATATTGTTTTATACTGTTATAATTTGAATCATTTTAATTTAAAAAGCTTGTTTAAATAATTGAGTAATTTTAACTTTAGTCCAAATTATATTAAAAATAATAATAATAAAAGTTTCAAATTACATACACATATCATTTGTATATTTAATTAGTGCAGTATTAAATCTGGCTTGAATATTTGATTAAGTAAAGAATTTAGACTAAGTTTGGTAGAACTTTCTCTAAATTGGAATAGATTAGAAGGTAGATTATTACTAGTTAACTAGTGTAAAAAGAAAGGTTTATAATGTAAGTGTTTATGCTTATCATATTAATTTAGACTTAGGCAAACTTCTAAAATTCTGTTTGGAAGTTACAGGAGTGTTCATAGAGGAAAATCTGATAATTGTAAATGACTTTAATGCATCTTCTGTATACCTACAATAATTTCTTTTTATAAACTTGAGACATAGTACTTGCACACGTAATATTTTTATAAGTTCGCTAACTATTATGTAGTGTATTGGATTGTACAGCATGGATTGTACGCATGACTTGTATTGTAAGCATGACTTGAACAGGCAACCGAAAGCTAAGATACATTCAGATGAACTAAATTTTTAAATAGTTAGCATCTCAACTACAAACTCATTAATCTTCTACCAGTCTATAATGAAGGAGAAACATTGATGTGCATTTAGATAGTTTACAATAAACTTATTTTCTCTAACTTTTTTAAGTTTTTAGATACCTAAACATAACAGTGATATGTGCTATTATAGAACAATGATAACTGTATATTGTCAGATCTGTGCCATAAAATTGTATGTCACTTTTCTTCTAACTGACAAGTGAAGTTACAGAAACAACAAAAATTTTCAATGAAAATATCCTATGAAGAGAAGTATGAAGAAATCAGATCAATATAACATAAATTGAATTTTTTTTTATATGTCTCAGTTTCTTCTGGCTTTTCTGTAAAATTGTTTAAAATTGGATATCTTCTGACGATATATAATACCATTCCAATAAACAATGCAGCTCTTACACATTTCTGATAGGCAATATATGGCACCTAATGTGACAAACTTTATTAACAGCAGAGATGGCCAGACTTTATTTATCATAATTGATGAATATTCAATTAGCATATTAATTATAAATTTTTAATTGTTTTGAATAATGATTTCTTTAAAACAAATAATATATATGTATATAGTTTAATATAGTTTTCAAATATATATAATACATTATATATAAATTATTTTTGTCCATTGTAGGCTTTAGCAAAATTTCAAACAAGCCAAAAAGTAAGTGCTACTACTGGAATTGAACAGGAAGAAAGTTTGCTTCAAGAAACTGCTAGTAAAGAAGCATCATTTACTTCTACACTTCAAGAATTGGAGAGAGAATTAAAATTGGTAAATTTGCTTTTTAAAATATTAATAAGAATTTAAATTTGTACCAAACTTTTTATAACAATAATTTTTGTGCTCTAATATGATAAAGAATAATCCATTTTATTCAATAACAATCTAAAGAAACTAAAAATATATTTAAGTGTAAGCTATGACTAAACTATATAGTGTCTTTAGTTGATAAAATTCTTGTCAAAGTATAATATGAAATTAAATTTTATTAAAGCTGTTTTCTATCTCAAACTAATATTTATATTCAAAATACAAGTCAAATTCCAATACAGTGAACTCTCTAATAACAAACAGTTTTCTTGTATGTTGACAGACTGATTTAATAGATTCATTTTAAAGAAATTAATAAACTAATTTAATGAATATTACTTTCTATTGTGCTTAAATCTTCTCAATTAAAGATAAATTTTATTGTTGTTTCTTTATTCATTGTAGATTATAAATATTATTAGAAAACAGTTAAACAAATGTTACTAATAAAAAAAATTCGTATACTACTTCATTACAATCACCATGATATTACTGGCATAGAATTCAATAAATAAATAATTGCCTAAAACCAGCAATTATTTATTTACTAGTTCATTATTTTCAACTGTCATATTTTTAGTAGAAACATTAAAAATGAAGCTTGCAACTTTATTAAACTGTTGAAAAATATTCTCTGAGACATCAATAATAAAGGGCAAATATGCAGGCTGTCCAAAGCCTTTAGAAATGAAATTTTCTCATGTGTTGACTCAATTAAAATTTAGATTATGTTAATTAAAGGAGTAATATCAAATTCTCTTGCAATATCATTTTTCTTCTCAGAATCTATTTCTCTTGGAAATATAAATTAATATTATTTCCAATTTTTTTTATCTTAATGGTAATAAAAACATTAATTAATCAGCTTTGTAATAACTTATAAATGAATAATTCAATAGTAGAATAAATTTTGGGAAAGTATATGTAAGAAAAGAAATTTTTACGATAAATTGTTATATATTAAAATGATGTTGAATTCAAAGTAATAAGAGTTAAAACCTGCTATTAATTGAAGCCCTCAAGGACATATAGTGCCAACCCTCAGAATGTTTGAGGTAATCGAGTTTGAATATCTTGAAAAAACCTTGAAATCATATGACTGTGTGTGTTAATATTTTTGCCTTCTGAACTTTGCCTGCAGATGTGGCTGTAATCTCATGCTCAAAACAGAAAAGATTATGATTTTTATTTCCATTTTTTTTCTTTATATTATTTTATTTTTCTTGGTGTTATTCGTCAATGTTTTTTACATCAACAACAGTGTCATCTTCCTTGATCTGGTAACAGAAAGCTTGGTATGCTTCAGTAACCCATCTCATCAGGACATAATATCATTCAGTTTATTTTTTTGCAGTAAGCAATGATTCTGGTGTACTTTTTCTCTAGCTGATATGGATGTGTGCTGGGTGCATCATTCATAATTGAATAGTTCAGAATGCCACGAATTGAGGGTCAGTACTATGTCCCCAAAGTTTCAATTATGTACAGTCTTAAATATTGTTATGATCTGTTTGATTGAATTATTTTGTATTGCTTTTTATGTAATATAACAACTTATATTAAAAATAAATTATTTTTTGTGAACAGAATTTTATGTGAATATTTCCTTGTTTAAAAACTAAGAATGCACTAATTAATGCTTACTGATTATCAAATGGCAAAAATATATATGAAAAAAAACTATTGATCCTTTGATAGGGGGAGTAAATGTTCACAAATATCAATTGTCTATTGCATTTGAAGGTATTTAACTATAAATCAAACTTTGTATGAGCCTATATGAAGCTTACATGAATGAAACAAATACCCACACTTCCAATCAGGGAAATAAACAATGATTGCCATTCTGCTGCATTCTGTTCACTTGATTGTTGTAGTCTGACAGTCTCGAATATTGTATTTGACTTAAATCTGTCTGTTCCAAGGCATCTATATGATTCACTGTTTCTTACATCCATTATATTGGGTTACATAAAATTGAGTTAAGCAGTATAGTTGTTTGATAAACAGTTCATGATTGCAAAGAATTCATTTATTGAAGAGGTACTCTGTTGTAAGATGCAGCTTTCCAAATGGACAGAAATAAGTTTTCTTGTACAATGTACAGTACATAAGTATATTTAAATTCATAAAAATATGTGAATCAAAATACATTTTGTAAGTAAGAATATCTTATCAGTCTTCGACTGAGTTATACAAAGCCAGAATGGGACAGAAAGAGGAAATGTTTGAAAAGAATGAGAAAGTATTCAACAGACTTTTTTATTAAATAAAAATCTTGAATATGATTACAATAGTTCTTAAAAGAAATCTTTGTAAAAAAATCTTTTTAGATAAATGTATATCATTTAACCAAGAATATTTTTTGAAACTTATTTTGTATAACAAATTCTTATGATCTTACCATATAATTTTATCTTATCATTAACATGGTTTGCATAGTTTTAACATCTTAATCTGGATTTCTTTTTTAACTGCATGCTATTCATCACAGAAAATATTCTCTCCACAGAAGCTATATTTCCAGGCAGACAAATAATAAATAATAAATTTAAATACATTACTAAAATCTTGGAAAGCTAGATATTTTTTATTCATTCATTTCAGATGATATCTATGAGGGTGGTTTTTTCAACCTCCGATGGTCCATAAAACAAAGACAAGTGTAAATAACAAAATGAATTTATTACCAGAAGTTAGTTACTTTTTGACATAATCATCATGAAGATTGAGGCATTTGTCTATCTGTGGACGAGCTTTGGAATCCCCTCTTTATAGATTGTTGCCGCCAGTAACTTGAGATGGGCCTTAACATTGTTTTGAAGATTGTCATTAGTCTCGAACCTCTGCTCTCCTAGCAGAGGAAAGAGGTGGATGTTGCTCAGTGCTAAATTGGGGCTGTATGCTGGGTGTTTAAAAAGTTCCAAGCTAAATGGAAGTCTGAAAGGTGAAAGTCTTCACACATTGAAGGTGTGAAGACTTCCATCTCTTTCCTGAAAACAGAGTAGGGCAGAGGTTTGAGACTAATTGGAAGATATTGGTGGATTTCAGATTTTTTGTTAAAATTTTTGTCAATGTATTGTTCAAAGCTGAAACTTATTGTAACATTCATCAATATCACACATTCCTTACACCAGTGTTTCTCAACCTCTAACGAATTGTCGCCCCCTTCACTTCAAAATTCCAATGCCGAGGGCCAAGGCTAACGCCAAATTCGTACTGCATTGAACAGACTAGTGACTAGTATAATGTTATTTGTTTAATTATTGAACGATATAACGAATAAAATATCTAATTATTCTTAATATAATGTTTTACTATATCACCCAGAAAATTGTTTTTCGCCCCCAAAATATAAATTGTTACAAATCGTCCCTCAACATGGAAAAATGCCCACAATATCGCCCCCGTTGAGAAACACTGCCTTACACCATCCAGGTTGACTGTTCAATTCATAGGTGTAGAACCTGAAGCTGGCCCCTACACTTGGCCAAAAATGTTTGTTTCTAATATAGCATTGCTAAAAAACAAATTTTCATCAATTTTGTCAATTTAAAAATTCGGAACTGTAATGAAAATGAAACATCTATCAGAAAAAACAAAGAAATACATGAATTTATATTTTTGTACTTTTTTTGTACAAATTTATTGAATTATATCTAGATATAATTAAAGCATAAGATGGCTTAGTTTTTATTTTATTAATATCAAATGAAATTAATCTAAATATTAAAAATTTTAGAACTGATGTATATTTCTCACTTAATTTGAATTGTATTGATTTGTCTATAATATGTTATGTAAGATAAATGAATCTGTAAAACTATTTGTAGTATTGCATATAAATAAACAATTTTTAATCCAGCAATTTATTAACTTAACACCAATGTTCAACATAAAGGCATATAAATTATTACAGTTTTTCCATCCTATTTAAGAATATAATTTTAAATTGATTTCAAATATTTTGAGAAAATTATTTGTCATATAAAATATTGTTTCTATTTTGTGTTTGAATGAATGGTCTTAGTTTGTTTGAATTGGATTTTATCATTTTGATAAAATTACATGCATCAAATTCAGATTATATACAAAAGATTTGATAAGTCAAAATATTCACTCACTGTTGTATTTTCTGTAAAATTTGTAACTAAATTTTAATCAATGATTTTGTTAACAACATTGACATAAAAAAAACAATACTAGAAATATTGTATTGATGATTAGAGATAAAAAAAATTATTACTGGTGCATTCTTAGTTGTTTAATAACTTTAAACTTTAATGATAAAATAATTATTTTTACTACTATTTTCTAAGATTTCACGAAGCATTATTCTTTTTATAATATTTTAGGTCCGTCAAGAATTGGCTCGTGTAGAAGCAGAAAAGGAACGCATACAACAAGAAAATGCTGATTTGGCCAAACGATGTGAAATTTACGATTGGGAAAAGAAAAATTTAAAAACAGAATTAAAAGAATTGAAATTTCGTGAAGCAAGGTTGCTTGGTGATAACAATGAGCTGGAAGAAGAAAATATTTCTTTACAAAAACAAGTTTCCTCGCTTCGTTCATCACAGGTATTAATAATTTGTTATATAATTTTATTTGGTGGTCTAGTTAATCTATATTTTTCTTTTTTTTTTTTTTTTTAATGTTTAGTAAACAACTATATTTTAACAGATGCTTAATACATGATAAAGGTTTTTATATGAGAAAGCTATAAAACAGGAAAAAAATCTTTTAATACAATTCAACCTGATTAAATGAAACTTCTGACATTCCTCTTAAAATTTGAATAAATAGTACATTTTAAAAAATAATTAACTTTAGAGTATTGAGATTTAATCTGGGATTCACTAGTCTGAGACACAGGTTCAGTATGGCAATTTAAATCTGATGGCCATTGGCATGTTGTCAATGTTAAAAACACAAATTATCCATAGATTTGTAATGTGAAGACTAAGAAAAGTTGATTTTGACTTCAAATGAAAGACTGGCAGATTGTTTTAATATTTTTTTTTTGACCATACAAAAAGAAGATCCTGGTCAATTTCACACAAAGTAGTATATTAAATGTCATTTTTATGATAATTATATACTACTAAATATCCCCATATTTCTTATGCCCATTTTAAAACAAACAAAAAGCATAACTACTATAAAAAAAATAATTATATATTTTTGTTTTAAAATAGTTAAGAAATATGAGGATACTGAATGATGAGTATAAACACTTGTTGAATGGTATTCAAACTGCTGTTGGAATTTCTGTTTGTGAGGTACAGTGTACAATTCATGACTAAAGACATGAAAGTTGTCATGTCATACATATATAGTTGCATCAACTATGCTCACTCAACAAGTAAAATGTTCCATTATGTTAATGTCTATTAGTTATAACTGTTGTGCAGAAAACTAGTTTAGAGAAATTATTGAATTTTTTAAAAATTTGAACATTAATTTTCAAAAATGGATCTCTATTCAAATGATGATGATAGATTAAAAAATAAGGATGTGTTCAAATCTCTAACAAATCCTCAAAAAAGATTATAGAATCATAAATTTGAATCTTCTCACTGCTTTTTCATCACTCAAATCCCGAAAGGTGGCACTGCATTGGTAGATTTCACCAAATTTGTTTGTTCTGTCGGTGTCTACTGTGAACATTTTCCAAAATTTGTCACACTCAAAAAAAGATCTACCATTAACAGTATTCTCAGACTTATCAACTATAACTGATGTGCTGAAAAGAGTAGTACTATAACATTCAAACTCATTCTGGATCTTGACTAGTAATGTTTGTGAATAAAAATCTTGATTAAATGTTTGCGTTTTTAAAATGCCCAAAAACATTTGCATCAAAAGTGTTATTAATTTTTGAAATTCCTTTTGGACATTCCTTATAAGTACAATTTTTCTTTAACTAAAAATTCCAGGTTTATTTAAAAAGAAAAAAAGTTTAAAAAGGCTACTTTATACAGTAAGACCCTGCTTAACGCGGGGGATGCGTTCCTAGACAACAAAGCGCTAAATGAAACAATGTTAAACGAGGTCATTTTAGCACGGAGTAAATAGGGAAAGGGGAACACACAAAGTAAAATCTGTTTATTTTTGGTCAAGTTATTTATATATTAATTTGCATAATAATATATGTTAAATAACACACAAACATATGCAAACAGAAATGTTAAGTTCATTTTTTGTGACAAAGGTCCTGGCTCTTTTGAAATTCTTGTTTTTTGCGATAAAGTCGTGTAGTTTCATTTGTTGCTTTTTTCTTTCCTTAAGCAAATGTCTGTAACAAGAGATTGCATCCAAAACGCCTCGTTTTGCTTTTGCACTCCTTTCAAAATTTGAATCATTCATTACAATTTAATAAATGATTTTGGTTATCATTACCAAACTTTTACTAAGGAAACTGTAGACAAATTCTTTGGGTTTTTCATTTTTGGAATTCCTTTTTCTGCCAGTTCTTGAAGGTCATCGTTGGTAAGGCTCTCACCATAAACCTGCAGTAAAGTCCTCAATACCCTGCTCGTCTACATCTAGTCCTGCTGTATCAATTAGATTGTCAACCTAACAATACAGCAATAGGCTCTTCTCATTGAGAATTCTTGAATACCTTCAGCCATAACTTCTTCCACACTTCATTCAGGCATTTATCAGTTAATTCTTACCATACATAGTCGATATTGCCTATGGTATCCATGGTGTTATATTTTTTCCAAAATTTCACCAAACATAGATTTAGGCTATAGTGAATTGCCACCTTTTGTTGATTGATTTGTGTTCGCAAATAACCGTATTATAAACAAATCAATGAAGTGCCACGATAATTTGAATTGGCGTAGATTTTGAGCTTTTTTCAGGCTTCGAACAGACCACATTATATAGAATCAGCGTTAAGTGGGGTCTTAACCATATGTCATGACAATCTCGCAATTGTATGACGACACTGTATTGTCCAGACATCAGGAAAGGTATACAGTTTAAAGTTCAAAGTATGAGAGCATATGAACAACGTTCATTTTGCTAAAACAGCAAATATACATAATTTAAATTTAAGGTAAAATTAATACAATGAAATGTCTTAATAATAAATGAAATACGTAAATAGTGTGAAATTAAATGACATTTATTGGTCTCACCATTGACTTCAGCATCTTAAACATGGCTGCCTGATCTGCCTCATGTACTGCTTTCATACTGCATGATAAGTTTCTTTTTAATCTCAATCTTCCTCCTAGAGTTTATTGCTTCCACATGCTTTTCAGCTGCCATGATTAATAAGTAAAGGTCATATTGGATAAAAAAAATAAGCAAAAGCTTTATTCAAACAGCTGTCATTTTTACTTTAACAATTATAAATTGTAAAATTTGTTATGTGAGATTAAAATAAGTTTGTATTCTTGTTTAGAAGCTTGATTTTATTCAAACAAAATATGAAATAAAGTTGAATTGTCTTCACATATAAAGTATATCAGGTATATTATACTTTGCTTCTGAAAGGATATACTGTAATGCCATACAAACAGTAAAAAAATTCAGTGCATGTGGGGAAGATGCTCATAAACTTCAAACAAGTTAAATGCAATTTAAAAAGTTCCATTTGGAAAATTTTGAACTAAAGGATACAAAACATAGGGGTGCCCAAAAGGTAGTGACAAAGAACACTATATATAACTAAAAAAGCAGTGAAAACATGGTGTATTTCAAGAGAGAGATAACTTTGGTGCGAACCAAATTGCACTTTGGTGGTTTAGTGCAGTACATTGGTCACACTGTAACTCAATTTAGAAAACTGTGATTTACTTGAAATCAAATACTGTATTTCACTTCTAATGAATTATATATATATATATTTATTTATTTATAAAGTTCTGATCCAAAGACTGACAACTGTTATTTAATATGCTCACCTCATAAATTTTATATGGTAGTAGCAGTAAATAATTTAACATTTCAATTTACAAATATGTTAACTATAGCAAAAGCCTTCCAATTTGCTTTGCACTTATTTAATAAGCTTTATTTTAAGAATAATGTGATACCTGTTATTGTTTAAATAAAGCAATAAGGTCTCAATTAATTTATTTAGGTAGAATTTGAAGGTGCAAAACACGAAGTAAGACGTCTGCAAGAGGTGATGGAATCTTTTAATTCGCAAGTGGAAGAATTGACGTCGCTTAAAAAAATCGCAGAGAAGCAGCTCGAGGAAGCGCTGGAAGCGTTGCAGTCGGAAAGGGAACAGAAGTACGCACTGAAGAAAGAATTGGACCAGCGGTTGAATTCGGAGTCGATTTTCAATCTTAACAACTTGGCCTTTGCCGGATTTCATCTTGGAAGTAAGAATTATATTGGCGGCAGCGTCGATAGCTGTTTCGTAACTAGATCGATAACCGTCGGTAGTAGTCAAAATAGTTTTAAAAATATTTATATAAAATCAAAAGGCAAAAACCGTTGCTGCGTCTGTCTGTCTTTTATCCTTGAATTATTTGTTGCCATTTTGGTTGGAATATTCTCACCGTAAAAAAAGCATACCAGGGAAAATTTTATTGAAATTTCAAACTGCATTGCTTTTAGTCCAAATGAATTTTTTACTGGTCATTGATTCTGGTAATAGATTAAATTTTTTTATACTTTGGGTCTGTTTTAGTTTATAAAATAACATAAAATAATTAGCAAGTCACTTTTACTCAAGATATTTTGATTAAAAGTACTGCATCTTAACTTTTAGAAGTGGGTTTCATATAATTAAGTTTTCTGGTTCTTAGTGTTATTAAATCAATATTATGATATTCCCCACTATCAAAAAGTATCGAAAATGGTTCAATAAAAGGCATTATTTGAATTTATCAAAATTTATTTTGTTTCCTTCAAAGCAATGTACTTGCACCAACATTTTTTCCAATCCTCAATACGTGCTTTAAAATCAGTTTTGTAAAACCCTTTCAGGGCTCTGAGTGAATTTTGTCTTATGGTATAGGTTGGCTGAAAATGGTGACCATTGAAGCATAATTTTATGGAGAAAATAAAAAAGTCAAGGTATCATATTTGTTTAATTTTTGCCAGAAATTCACAAACAATAAGAGCATTGTAAGCAGGTGCAAATCCAGGAGTTTTCTCACCACAAATCAGATTGTTTTTTATGGATGCTTTATGCAAACAACATTCTTAGTTGACAGTTTGGCCAGTTGGAAGGAATTCATAATGCACAATGCCACAACCTTGATTTTTGACTGACTTTGATGTGATTTTTTTGGTCTTGCTTTACCTTCAAGCACCATTCACTTGATCATTGAGATGTTTTGGTGTCATGCATTTTAAGAACAATTCATCTTGAGAGAGCATCTCTTGAACACACTTTTTTTTTTGGAAAACATTCAACATTTTTGGAACTACACTAGAAGTGATGCACTGCAAACCCAAATAATCTTTTAAAACCGTTTGACAAGATCTAATGAAACTGGAACATGTTTAACAATTAGGGACATTATTGAACAATGACCATTGAGTATCATATCTTTGACTCAAGTGATATGTTGTTCTCTGCCTTCCTCAAACATCTTGTATTATTCAAAACCTCTTGTTTATGAAAGACTATTGTCACCAAAGGTTTTTGTAACAGTAATTCCAGTGGGAAGACATTTTGAAAAATTGCAGGCGTAAAAATTCTTTTCGTTTGCAAATAAACTCATGACAACAGCACTCACTTGCACACACACAACATGCAGTTTATATGAACCTATCCTGATACTTTTTGATTAGTCAGATTTGTTATTGATGTATTTTAAGACTAACTATTGGCAACAATGCAATGGTTCAGCAACAATTCTATACAAAAACATCGATGTCAGTTTCTAAAGTTTAAAAAACTATGGCAACATCAGTAAGATATTCTTATTTGATCAAAATGACAGTATTGTTTTTTTTATACAATGATTTTTTTGGAATACCATTTTTTGACATTTCTACAAAGATTTTTTCCACGAATTGCTGCCATTTTATCATCTGTATTCTAGAAAAGAATATTATTAGTATGGCACACATATTGCAATACAAAGCACGAGGACAGTATTTTACTTTTTATCAAATGGACAAATATGAATAACATGTAAATATATAACTAAATACCACCAATTGGCAGCTAACAAGCATTTTTTACCTTGTAAAGCCACAGTTTCTTTTATAAAAATGTGTGGATTACATTTTTACATATATAAGTGATTTTTGTAAAAAAAATTTTTTAAACAATTTAAAACTTTTTTTGTATGTTTGTGTGCCAAATGTATTTTGTGCCATATTATTATTGTTCTAATGGTTTTTGAATCAAAGTAACATTTTTGTTCATCACAGTTATAGGAGAGATGTAAAATTTAAAGTATAATTAAAGCTTATTTTTGTTATTAATTTGTTTTGTCTTTCATAATGAGCTACCAAAAATCAAGGAAATGTTAAAGTATAAAATTTTATTAATGTTTGTAAATTGCATGCTCTTAATAACAAAATACTACAGAAGAAAAAAAAATTCATATAATTTGTTCTGCACATTTACAAACATTGATTTATGGTGACTTACCATGCTATTTCCAACAGATATGGGCCAAGAAGACGGAAATAGAACAGAAGAGGAAGACGGAGAAGCAGGTACGCCAGTTCTAAAACAAATAGAAGCCGATTTTATAGTTGGTTCTGACGAAAGTAAGGAAGCATTTATTGTAATAGTATATTCTATCCAAAATGGCATTACAAAATTATTATCGTGCAGAAGGTGTTGGCAACGTACAGTCTTCGACGGTTGGCGATCTGTTCAGCGAACTGCACGGATCGGAGATACACAAACTCGAAAAACAACTGGAACAGGTACGTTTCACTTTGTGAAAGTTTACGAATGCAAAACTAAACAAGATTTGTATTTCGTAGGCCGAAAACGAGAAATCTCAACTCACCTTGAGGTTACAAGAATCTCAACAGCTTTTGGAAAAAACGCAAAAAGATCTAACCGATCAGCATAGCCGCGTGTCACGTATGGTCGAACACATAAATGCCCTAATTGCATTGCACGGAAGGCTCGACGGCGAAGAAGGAAGAATAGAAGGACAGATGGAAGATGGGGAAAAGGTAAAAAAATAGTTTTTTAATCTTCAAATCTTTGTTACTCTTATTTAAATTTTAATGACATCTAGGATTTGCCGGAATTGTCTCGACTAAGGCAACTTCTGCAGAAACACGAACAGCGATATCAACTAGCAGTTCAACAAGTGGAGAGACTTCAAGCAGATGTAAAAGGTCTGCAACAGCAAGGAGCTTCTACTGATCAGAATGATGATGAATCCCTAGAGAAACTGCTAGACGAAATTGCAAATTTGAAAAACAAAGTATATATAAATGTTTTTACAATCTCAAATCATCAAATTTTACTCCTGCTATAAAATTTGAATTTTAGGTAAGAAATAATGAAAATCAAATTGCCAATCTTGAAAGTGATATGAATATCTTGGGAGAAATTACCGGAGAGACACAAACAAGCTTAAATCTTACTCAAGTATAAATTTTAGCACCCAGCAAAAATTAAATTTTTGATTCTTAAAATTGATTAAATTGTTTTTTTTTTTTTTTTATTTTAGGAGGATTTGATATCGATTTCTGAAGAACTTGCTCAGCTTTATCATCACGTTTGCATGGTAAACGGAGAAACTCCGAATCGCATAATGTTAGACCATGTTAAGGGGACACAGCAACCTTCCGGTGAGATTATTATAGTAATTATATACTTTACGTAATAAAACTGAACTAAAAAATCTTTTTATTAATAGATGATGGAGTGAAAAATGACACATCTAACTGTGTAATATCCACATCAGAAAGATCAGTGACTTGTAACAGAATGGATGCTTTAAGAGAAAATATCAAAAGCGAGATCTGTTTGAAGATTTTGCAGTCAAACGGCAATACGGACATTCGTGTCGATCCAGGAATGTGCACCAGGTTATTAGAAACTTTGCACGATCAGATAAAACATCTGCGTCGTGCTGTTGAAACAACAATTGAAATGCAGCGTCAGAACACTATCCATTCTAGTAACAGAGACGGCTCGTTTTCGTCAGAAGTGGAGGATTTGCAAGAACAAGTCATTAAACTTAAATCTATGTTGTCTACTAAACGAGAACAAATAGCCACGCTACGTACAGTATTAAAAGCAAATAAGCAGACTGCAGAAGTAGCCCTGACTAACTTAAAAAGTAAATACGAGAACGAGAAAACAATAGTCAGCGAAACTATGATGAAACTACGAAACGAGCTGAAGGCTCTGAAAGAAGACGCGGCTACCTTCGCCTCCTTGAGGGCCATGTTTGCCGCTCGATGCGAAGAATACGTTACCCAGCTGGACGAACTCCAACGCCAACTGACGGCGGCAGAAGAAGAGAAAAAGACTCTCAATTCACTTTTACGTCTGGCAATACAACAAAAATTGGCACTTACCCAAAGATTAGAAGATCTGGAAATGGACAGAGAACGAACCCACATGAGACGTCACACGGGACGATCTAGGCCATCCTATCCACGGACGAGTGGAGGACATCATCATTTGCCTCCTGGGGCCAGTGCCTTTTCTTCTCATCAAAACTACGGTCATGGACAATACTATCAACGTAGAGACTACTAGAATATTTTTTTTTATATTGCCTTGCTTAACAAATCATGGATTTAATTAATTTTGGTGTTTTTTTTTTTAAGTATTTACAACAGTATAATTTATTACTTTTGGTAGAAGAGAATCCCAGAATAATTTGTTGTTGAAAGCTATTTTAAATCTTTTTATTGTCGTTTTTCAACAATGCTTATCAAATTGTATTGCAATTATAAGATTTGGCATTATCAGTAAAATGTACATACTTTACTATGTAATCAAACAATGTTGTTGTTGTCCACTGTTGTTTTTTATACAGAATAAATGTTAAAATCCTTTAATTCAAATTCCCTAACACATTCCTACAGTTTACATAATTGTTTCTAGCAAATTAAACAAGTTTTGCTTTTATTTCAGTTGGATGTTTGTTGTTCCTGCATCCACATTCCAAACGTGCCTAAATAAAGCATTCTTTTCTTTGTAAATTCAGAAAGTTTACAGATCTATTTTTACAACTCCGATTCAAAGCCGAGTTTGTAACTTATTTCGAAGCTTATTGTGCGAAAGATAGCAAAGTATGCACTGTGTTTTGTGTGCCTTTGAATGAACAGTTACTGAAATTTTAACACATATCTTGTTAACTTTGAGAGTAGATTATTTGTAATAGAGTTCTATGCAATGCTGTTTAGACACTGCCCCCTTCTTTGTTGGAATGAACAGGTGGGAACAATTAACAGAAAGGGACCTGTAAGGAGTAGAAATAAAAGTGTGTGTAATTGTTGAACTGCTTGATTGTTTTCTTTGAATGTACTAAGGAAACACATATTATATGATGATATTTAAACTTTGAATTTTTATTATTATTTTTTTCTTTTTAATCATATATATATATCAACTGACATTTATGTTCAGATTGATTTGTAAAAACTGCAAATCAATCTCAAGTCATAGTTAATACTTGAAAACTTACATAGCTTGATGAATGTTACTTCAATGCAAGTTTATTTCCAGTTATCAAAACACGTTCCAATGAAAACTTCCATTAAATTTATTAACTGACTGTGCCACTGTACACTATTTATTGTGAAACCTGCTACATCAAACTCATGCAATGCAGTTTTGGAAATGGTTACTGCATATCACACTTTCCAACAACAGTACACAAATCTCTATTACCAAAACATTACTTTTTTCTTTCTGCAGAATTCCAGGATTTTTGTACAAAAAACAACTTCCTTTAGCTGATAAAACATGATAGGAAAATGCAGGATGGGAAGTTTTCTAGGAAATTCCCACAATTGCCACATGTAACATTACCCTGTATTGATTAACAGTGTTTGATATATGACAGGTTTCACACTTATTCTCACTAACATTTACTTGTTATCATAAAAAGCATATTCTTGTATTAAAAATAAACATTAAAAATGAATATATATTTATATATATACGCTACCCCCAATGGTCATTAGATTAAACTCTAAAACAACCACCCCCACGGTTGTCCGTATTTGAAGGAACATTGGGAAGACAAATTATGTGATACAGGATAATGGGCAGCTAAACTTCCACAAAATCTGAGCTTGCAATACAAAAACACTGACTAATCAAGGTATCTACCAAAATAAAAGCACAAGAACAATTCTTCTGGTATTACTCATTCTTTTTAGCACCATAATTCTTACCAACAATTCCGATTTCGTATACAAGTCTAACAGATTAACAACTTTGCTTTCGAATCTTTGTGTACTGTTAATTGAAAATCTATATTGGCAGTGGCAAACACCTTCCATAGAAACACACACTTGACAACAGTCACCCGTCTGATTTTTTTTTAATGTATAATTCCCCGTGACCTTATATATCTGGTCCAGTAAATGTGGCATGATGCATACATTAAAACATAAGTTACAACAACATCCACAATACAATTTGCAAATTTGCTGAAGTTATGAGAATGCTTTAGTATTAGAGAAGAACTATTTTAAACACAATGATCAAAATACAATGATAAAAGTATTAAACAATCCAACTACAGAAATGAAGCAATGATTCCATTGGTCATTAATGAGTGAATTATCCATCAAGATAGATTTGAAGTGAATTGTCTTTACTAGTACATGTTACACAGAACAGCCATTACAGCCCGTAGCAGAAATTACAATTCGTAGTGTGCAGTCTCCTACTGGTGCCCTTCCTGTCTTGCTTTACCTGAAACCTATTGAATTTTTATTCTATTAAAATTTCTTTTTTTATACGAATAAATAATTTATATTTAAAAAAATTATCATATTCATATATCACCATCCTTACAACTACCACGAGAGATGTTCAAAAATCTTTGCACTACTAACATTTTTATACTGGCAGATGTTAATTGACATTGTTATAAAAACCTTAGTTATTTTATTAGATATAAGCAGGAATTAATTAGTGTAATAAGAGCAAAATGATGGATGCATTGTGAAAATTTCCATAAATCTTATATCGAAATGAAAAATTTCTGGAGGAAGAAAAATGCCCAAATAATTGAATTTACAGAAAAGAATATGCTCTTCTTTAACTAATTTTTTATATAACAACAAAATAAATCAAATTGTTTTTATTAATAATACTATATTTTCAATTTAATTTTGCAGTGATTATTGATATGTATTAGAATAGTTAATGTTTCTTGTTACAGATAATTTAAATAACTATCACTGAATGCTCTTCTGAATATAATTTATAAAAATATCTTAATAGGTAAATTAATCAAATTTAAACATTTTTGTCTATTTAGTTTCAGTAAAATGATTTTTATTTAGTCTGCCAAGCCAAATAAAAAATATTTTATTGTAATTGACAAATACTATTATGAAGTTCAAAGAAATAAAAAAAATTTTTTTCAGAGAGAACAAGCTTTAACAGACAATGATATGAATGCAAAGAAAACAAAATTGAATAACTACAGTCATAATTGCAAGTGACTAATTTTTAATCAAGGGCAATATGATCATGTCTGCCGTTACTCATTTTCCAATCATCAGGGGGGAAATCACAGATGATTTGTTTTCTAGAATAGCACTTTACAGTATATCAGACAAACTATTATCTATTTATGCTTTTAATAGAAAATATTAGACTAGAAAACTGTTTTTGATTTTAATAATACGTTTAAATTTTCACTGCCTTAATTTGTTTAAAATTTAACTTAAAATTTCTCTCTCTTTATTGAAGATTATAAATTATATTAAAAATTCGTAAGAGCAAGGAATGTTTGTTAATATGAATGGAAGACATCATATTGAATTTCAAAATAAATAACCTAACTGTGGTTTAGTACAATTTTCTTCATACCGCTATTTA